ACTTGGCGAAATCTGTTGGCTCAATGACCCCTTGTTTTAGTAGTTTATCCAATTTAGCGTCTAGTTTTGGTCGAATAGCAAATGGAACTCTACGTGGTTTTAATCTGATTGGGACTGCCTGGGGGTCAACGGTGAATGAGATGGGGGTTCCATTATAACACCCCAGCTCCTCGCTGAACACATCTGCGTAGTCAGCGAATAAGGAGTCAGTGTCTGAGGTTGAGACAGCATGGACTCCTGTTAACCCTAGGCCGAGGTGGGGAAACCAATCGAGCCCCAATAAGGTGGGTAGATTGCCGTTAACTACCACTAGAGGTAGGTGGCCTTTAAAAGCTCTAAAACTGACAAAGAACTTGCCTCTGCCGATCACGGGAATGGCCTTCCCCTGGTAGTCCTTCAGACCGAACTGGCATCTCTGAAGCCGGGTAGTAGATAGGCTGGGGTGGAGTCTCTTGAGGGTGTTCCATGAGATTATTGAGAGCGCTGACCCTGTGTCAACCTCCATGTGGCACGGTTTACCTTCTAGGGAAACGGAGAGAGAAATTTTACTAACAGTGTGGCCAGTACGCCTGGCAAGGCGGTGCGTGCGACAGTTTAATACTTGCCTCTGTGGCCCCGAGTGCGAGGACGGGGGTCTGTGTGCAGCACTTTGGGGGGCTTGGCAGACTCTCGCAATGTGCCCCCTCTTATGGCAGTTGTTGCAAACAGCTCCTTTAAACTTGCAGGTGGCCCTTTGATGTGATCCCCCACAGGCTAGGCACAGCGTGATGTGCTTGGGTGGACCGGTGTATTCTTGTTTGGCCCCTACCTGCGACCGTCTGTCATTGGTGAGGCGATGGACATCGTCCTCATCGTTGTGGGCTTCCTCCGCTTCCACCTCTTCGGAATGGACTGGGAACGATGCTAGCTTGGCACTTGGGCCCTGAATTTCGGTGGCTGAGTTCGTTGCTAGCTCGGCTGCTAGGGCCTCCTCTACCGCTTGCGCAAGGTTGAGGTCTTTTTTAGCTAGCAGTCGCCTCTGTAGGTTGAGATCTTTGACCCCACAAACTAATTGATCGAGGAGCATGTCCTCCAGGTATGTTCCAAACCCGCAGTGCAGGGCTGCTGTTCTGAGGGCGGCCATATATTGATTGATGGTCTCCTTACTTGATTGCTTCCTCATACGGAACGTGAACCTCCTGGCGATTTGTGAAGGCCTGGGAGCGTAGTGGTTAGTGAGGATCTCAAGCAACTCGGACCACGGAACGTTTTTCAATTCTCTCGGCGCTACGAGTGCTGCGGCGGTATCGTAAACGGTGGCTCCGCAGTAGATTAGGAAATAGGATTTTTTCCGATGCTCTCCCGCATCCGACAGGCCGACCGCATCGATGTAATGATTGAAACGGTTCTTATACGATTCCCACTTCTCTTCGTCTGGTTTAAACGCTGGGAATACTGGATTGGAACTCATGGTGCTGGAACGGCTGGGCTACCTGCGGAAAAATCTCTCTGGGACTACGAGCGCTCGTGAGTTACTAGTGATATCAGCTCTGGAGAGGTTTTTTGCTAACCTCTCTTTCTCTCTCTGGGTTACCACGTTGGCTGCTAGCCGTTGGAGGTGTCTAGATTCGCGCCAAAAAAGTGGGCATTAGTGACTCTCTACAGCGCTGTGCTGTGATTCCTACTGGCTCAAAATTCAAATGACACCCGTTTGAATTTCGCGCCAAATGCAGAGCGGCTGCGGCTCGCAGCGCTTCACTTTTCCCGTAGCGGGGCTAACAAGCGGCTACAGACGCTTCTAACTTTTTGACTCAGACCGCTTTCTCTGGCTGCGGATCTGCGTTTGCTCTTTTTGATCGCTCGTTTTGTTAGCTGACCGCTCTCTCTGGCTGCGGATCAGCGTTTCCCTTATCGCCAGCCGATCGCTCTCTCTGGGCTGCGGATCGGTGGCTAGTGACTCAGCGGTTGCAAGGTGCATCTGGTAGCCATCCCATCCTCGTCGCCAGTGTTAAGTTTGAGCAATGAGAGGCTGAACCAGAGCATGAGTGCAACAGTACTTTATTTTACAAAAAAAGGGCTGACCGTGCTTGCCAAGCCTGGAACTGGCTCGCAGCAATCAGCAACCAGTTGGACCCCGCAGCCTGCTTTTATAGCTGGCTGCTGGGGAGAACCAACCAATGGGAATGGGGGAATATCGCCCACACAAAGTGAGTGGACCTGAGTGAGAACTCCTTGAGTCCTCAGGACATAACAGGTAGGATCAGCCCTCACTCAAGATCCAAACCAGGAAAAAGCTATTAAGTTACAATAGGAATTGCCCACAGGACACAAGCCTCTTCATTACATCATTACCCTCCAAGTTTCAACCAAACTTGACTTCAAGACAAACATGACCCCTGCATAGCCCCATGGGAGTCTGACAGCAACTAATATAATACATGCCCTTACCACAGGAACAGGAAGCTCAAGTTCAAGGCCCAAAGAGGGTATAAATACCTCTCATTCTCCACTCCATGTGCTCAGTTGCCCAGGACCTAAACCCATGTGATCCTGTCCACCATTAAACCATCTTTCCAATCAATCTCCATCCAGTGTCTTTCTCCCCACTTGGAACTGAACCCAGATGGATATTTCTTCCATCAATATGTAAATAATGCTTCTACATTGTAAACAACCCAGAGTGTGCTCTAAAGTGCTATGGGATGGTATTAGCCAAAATACTATTGCTATTGTTATCTATATATGTGCATATCTATATGCTGTAATAGTTTCTTGAGACCTCCAAGCTGTCGTCAATAACTTTATTGCAACAAATATATGGATCAAATATATTACATGGAAATATGATTAGATGAATGGGTATTAAAAGACCTACTAGTGTAATTTCCCACTGAAATAAATTTATTGCTTTTAATTTGCACAGGACTTTGATCCATTCTTTTCTATGGTATCATCCAGATATGATCAGGTTTCATAACTTTCCAGTCAGTATAACCAGTAGGAAGAGATCATCTAAGTTAAATCATGATGTGGAAAGCTATTTTAGATGGGACTTTAAAATACTTTTATAAAAGAAATAAGCCTGGTTTAATTTAGGGAGAGAGAAGAAAAAAGTCCTGCCAAGGTAATTAAAAATATTACTGAAAACATATAAAGGGCCATTAGAAATATGTGCTATTCTGTCTGTTACTTTTTCTACCCCCTCTCCTCCAAAAGGTGTTTATTTATTCAAACACTTCTTCAATAGATGTAGAAATTAAAATAAAAGAATCTCAGAGGTCAAGGATGTTAACCATACAAGTGGATGGTAAACTCTATACCAGGTGTCCCCAATACCTGATCTGCAAACCGGCACTGGTCCATAGCCCACCAGGAACCAGACAAGCAAATGAAGCCCCAACTGTGCATGTGTGGGATCCAGGCAGCATGCAAAACTGTGCCCTTCCTTATCCACAGAAAAACCACCCTCCATGGAATCAGTCAAAAGGTTGGGGGTTGCTGCTCTATATTATGTTCAGAGGTAGTATTCAGCTGGTTTGTACCAGTTCTGGCATACTGGTAGTGGAAATTTTGAGTAGTTTGGAGAACCAGAAAATACTACCTCTGGCTGGCCCCGCCCACCTGCCCTACCCTATCCTGTCCAATATTCCCTTGTTTTTTTAGCTCAGTTGTTTCGCGCAGCAGAGTGGATTGCCGCACCTCAGCTGAGCTAAAAAAACAGCTCACCTCACCAGCGCTGACAGAGGATGGGTTTTGATTGCTGTGTGCATGAAGTGTGCTCTCATAGAACCGGTGGGGGAAAAATTGGAATCCCACCACTGATTATATTAGAAACAGGTGTGGAAGTCAAGGGGAAGGGTGATATTGAAAGGTAAACATAAAAGGCATTCATTTCTGCTTTTTTTTTTTTATCAAAAAATGCAGAATTGACTAGGCCTGTGCCAAAATCTGTCTTCAGAGTAACCACCATTTTCTCTTTTGTTTTTCTTTGTTCTATTTTTCTCAAAGTACCCAATCATTTCTTTCCCACTTCTGTTTTCAAGTTTTGTCATTTCTGGATTTGCTTGCAGTAGTATTAATTTTGATTACATGTACATATTCCCATCACTCTGAAATTGTCCGATTTCCTACATTTCCCAGTCTGGGATGTGTGGAGGGTACCATGGGAAGAGTTTCCTACTGATGTCTCCCTTTGAGAGTTACGGGGAGCTGTTGGAGAGAGGATTGTAGAAGGTATCCTTTGTGTCCCTTGGAATTAAAGAGCAACAATCCACAAAGACAATATTTCCAAATCTTTCTTGTCTTTGAAATGCTATTTCAACAAAGATAATTTTTCTGGGCAATAGGCTAAACAGATCTTTTGTTTGTTTCTTAACGATTTGGGTTTTCAGCTGACTTTGAGGGAGCTGACCCCTTTCTTAGTTTGTTAATACTGTACACTTGTCAGCCTCTTTTGAAAATCAATCGTCCAATTGCATACTCAACTACTGTAGTATTTTTGTGAATGGACTCCTTCCCTCACTGTTACAATGATCACATGAGTTGACCATTTGCTTAGACACAATAGGACAAAAATATCTTAACGAGCTGTTTAAAGAAGACGGAGTAACTTTCCCCCTCCCTGCTTCATCATCTCCTGAGCTTGGGCTGAGATTCCCTGGTGGAGAAAAGCTTAGAAATTGATTGGATGCTGCTTATAGCCTCTGAAGTTTTTAAACCCTGAGGTGTTAACTCTTACATTTCCCTGCCACAAACTCTAGGAAAACCAACAACACCCCCCCCCCCACCCCCAAAAGGATGATATTCCTGACTAGGAAAGTTTTTGCCATTTCTCTCTTCCTGTTTTTTTTTTTTTTTGGGGGGGGGGGGTGTCAGATTGTGCTGGGAGAGTCTAACCCTTGAGTGACCTGCTTTTAATGAAATTCTCATTCAGTGCCCGTGAGTGAATTGTGCTTTCCCCTCCCTTTCTTTCCTCTTTCCCTCCCTCCCTTCCTCCCTCCCTCTCTCTCACACACACTACACTTGCTCATTCACAGCCTGCTTTATCCATAGTCAAAGGAAAGATCAGTTTCTCTGCCTTGAGTAGCACAGTCGTGGTGAGAACATTCAAAGAGAAGAAAGTGAACTGCGAGGAAGTGGGACAGAGGAACGGGTTGGAAACGCAGGGAGTGCAGAGGAGTCTATAGTTTTTAGAGAGGGGGAAGGAAAACCAGAAGACCCCTTGCTTTTTCTGAGCAAAGGTGAAGCCAGCTCTGACAACTGATCACTTGATCTGAAGACCGTTTAACAGAGGCAGGAGGTTTTGCAACTCAAAGTAAGTTTTTTTTTTTTTGCTTAACTTGTTTCTGACTGTAGTACAGTAACCCACCCACCCACACATAATTTCACATAAAAATGCAACTTGGGGAAAAGGCAGTGAGTCAAAGGAAGCTAAATACTCCTAAGGTCGTATTTCCGTTCATATGTTTCCACGGCTGAAGAAAGTTGATGAAGCAGATAAGACCTGAGGGACTTCAGAATATATGTTTTTGTGGGGAACAAGGATGACATGTCTTCTTTTTGTGAGGATGGGTCCACCATCCCCTTCATAATTTCAAAGTGCCGAGCTCAAATAATATGAGCATCATTCACCAACTCACGAGGGATCTTCCTGGTGACGCCTTCTTTCTGTTGTACTTACTGAGGAAATCGTAAGGAGTAAAATAGATGGAGTTGTATGATTGTTTATCTCCCTCTTAAAGGATTCAAGAGACAATTTAAAAGTAGAAAAGAAGACCCAAATCCCCTCAGGATTGCCTCTTGAACCCCACTGGGAAGGGAAAGGGGAGTTGATGATGAAATGGAAGAGTCTGATTTTAACCATCCCTTCTTTCAAGAGTGAATGTCCTTCAGTCAGCACTAAACTGAGGGCAGAGCTTTGCATACTTCCCACCCCACCAAGTACCAGCTAGTGTTAGTCACCTTTGCTTCAGCTTCACTGGATATGTAGACATTTATAGGATGACAGGGACATGGCTGCAGATTACTAGGGCCAAAATGAGTTTTTTTAGCATGAAAAATCTGCAGATATACATTGTTCTGCTTCTTTAACTCTACTTTTGTGGATTTAATTAAATCTAGATTTTTTTTACAAGAAGGTTTATTTGATGTCATCCTTTTCCTTATGGTGATAGTGACCAACAATTTAATATAGCAGAAAATTATGCTTTCTAAATATTTTTTAAAGAAAGGTGCCAAGCTTACTTGAAAGGACTTAAAGTAGCCTGCATGATGCTTATATTGTAATTTAGATGGATAAACTTTTTAACAGCTGTGATATTGTTGGTTGTACGCTGTCCATAGTCACATTCAGTGAGGCGGGTGACTGTATAAATTTGTTAAACAAATAATATATGTTTATATATGTTTGCCATTTGCTATGGAACTGCAAATGGTATAGAGAAATAATGGCAGAGTACAGAATTTCAATATGGTTGCTGAATCATGTGCCTTCAGACAATATCCTGGGGTTTTGTGATATGGAAAAGTCTTTAAAGTTCCATCTTTAATTGTTAACAAGTCAGTAGGAAACTATCTGTCACTATATCTCTGACCATCCTTTTCCTGTTTTAGGAAATGGAACTTTTGTTTTGATTCCATAATTTCAATACAGAATAGGATGAAAAGAGAGACTGGGGAACAGAAGTACAACACAACCTCTCAGTCTCCATTGCTTGCATCAAAGGCAAGATTGAGTTCCATGGATTCCAATTCGTCAGTTCCAATTTGTGTGATGGAACTATTTCATGTTTGTCAAGAAAAGTGATGTCAGAAATGATGAGTAATGATGGCTGGACAATGAGTTGAATGCTTAAATATAAAACCTGTGTTAAAATTTAAAATTAATTTCATGGAATTAATGACAGCTAAAATGAATTATTGTTCACAATGATTAGATACCTGTGGGTTGAATAACAGATGTGGATTCAACATTCTGGCTGGAAATGCAGGTGTCCTAGCTTCAAATGGTCCGCACCAAACTTCAGATCAGTTTGGAATCCATTTAAAGTTGTATTTGTGGGACAGTTTGTTTTCCATTCTTCATTCCTGGCCTGCAACATCTTTACAATTATACAGTTAGATTCCTTCCTTCCTTCCTTCCTTCCTTCCTTCCTTCCTTCCTTCCTTCC